GAAACCGCAACGAGCTGAAACACCATTCTCACAACCGTAGAACTGCCTCCCAAGTCAATGAGCCTGACGTGACGTGAGCAATGGAGATGGTAGTCCACGATAACATAAAATACATATGTCTGTAATTGATATCCTAGAAGTCATGTTGGTGTAACTGCGAAAAAAACAAAAGAATCAAATGTCAGCTCAAGATATTTAAAAAAAAAACAAAACTAAATGCATATGAATATCAACCTATAATCTTTTTAAATAAAAACTTGGTAGATCAGCAGCCACGGATAACATCTAGGATAGACTCCCTTAAAGCAATCATATCAGCCAAATCTTCACCATCATGATCTTCAAATTCATTAGAGTTTATATCTTCCTCAGGAAATGAATGCCCACCCACAATTTCTGGAGTTTGCTCGAAGACATTCAGTTCATCATTGTCAGCCATACTGAAATCTGTATTTGATCGTGAGGAATGTCTTCGGATGAAGTTATGTACTGTCATTGTTGCAACCACAATATGCACCTGCTTTTGGAAAGGATACGATGACATATCACGTAGGATGACCCATTTCTTCTTCTAAACTCCAAATATTCTTTCAATTACTCCGCGTAAAGATGAGTGACATTTATTAAAAATTTCCTTTCTTCCACGGACGGTGCCACTTGCTCACTCGAAATTAGGAAGATGGTATCTTGTGTCAGGATATGGCTTTAGGTGTCCCCTTTGCATAGGATATCCAACATCAGCTAGATAATATTTTCTTGGTACAAAAAACACTGTTAATAAAAAATATTACCTGCTCAGATATACAAATTGCTCAAGCAAAACTAACCTAATGGGGGGTGAGGGAAACAACGCGATCTATTTCTAGTGGCAAAGGAGAAAATCTGACTGTCATGTGCACTCCCTTTCCAGCCTGCCATCACAAAAGTAAAACACATGTTGAAGTCGCATACAACCATGACATTCTGAGTTTTTGAACCACTCCGACCGATGTATGCAACCTTCTCGTGATTGGGTAGTCGGGCATCAACGTGGGTACCTTCAATTGCACCAATGCAGTTCTGTTTAATTGTCTGTTAGAGAGTAATAATATTATGAAAGTATGACATGTAATAAAATAAAAGCACTCATAGTTACCTTGAAATATTACATGTATCGAGGATCATCAGCAATTTGTTCTGGAGTGGCAATTTGTTCTGAGCAAATGATGGATCCTCTGGTTTAATTATTTGAGCTGCTAAGCTAACAAGAGCTTGTATGCCTTTAGAAAAGTAACGACTAATAGTTTCAGATGAATGTTGAAATCTTTCCATAGCTCCTCTAATTGATTCTTGTGTCAGAATGTAAAGTGTTATAGCCAACACCTACCTACACGTCGTCCTAGAAGAGCCCTAGAGACCGTGATTTAGACATAACTCGAGCAAAAGATAAAAAAAAAATAGGTGCTGTCATTATGAAAATATTTCTGAAGCTTATTGGATGGCCAGAAAGCATTTCACCAACTCATTTATCTCCAACAAAGCTAGATGTCATGTGGGGAATGCGAGTAGTGTTATTCCGGTAATAATCCAACAACAATATCATAATGGCTGTAACAAATGACATTTTCTTACGACGATCACGTCGTGGATCCATCCTAAATGATTTCAAAATGTAAATAATATGAGTGCATAATAAGAAATGCCTACAACACTACCAATCAATTAAACTTTAAATATAAATTATTGACGTTCAGAACATATAATACGCAACTTATAAATAAAGCTTCAACCACTAACAAGTACATTTAAAAATAAAAGACCACATATGTAGAAGATTCAAACATATTTTAAAAAAATACATGATTAGAAGTTCCAAACATAAAAATAAAAAACAACATAAGTAGAAGTTCATATTACTGTAGTCAATACATATAAAATCCATAAAAAAATATCATTTATCGACCAAATCCTGCAAATATTCGAGACACAATTCAGACTCTAGCACCAGAATATTTTCATTCAAGTTGAATCCTTAAGTTTTTTCACACACTGTGCGTGAAATCGCCTGTCGGCCACAACTTTAAGAATAGTACCTAAAAGACTGAGACAGTCTAATATGTTAGCATCAGAGGTTGGTGGAGCTGCAAAAGCTTCAATTAAACGATCAAAGGAGGTGTTTACAAAATATTCCTTCTCTTTATTTTTTTAGCAATCCTGGCCCTCTTTAAAACTGTACTGAACTCCCCCCCATATCCCTCTGGTTAATGCTAGACACTCCTTCATCGGGTAACAATGGCTTAGGTGTGATTTCATCTGGTATCCCTATAAAACCAGATTCACTAGGGTTGAATCCAAACTTTTCCGTTGTGACAACCCATTTAAACATTACGCCAGTTTTTCTTCAAATTCCGGCTCAATTTCCCACTGTTTATACCTCTTCGCTGTCGGTACCGCCTGTGATATAGCATTTAGAGGGAATAGTTAGGAAATTATAATTAAGGAAAAAAAATTGGAAAGCTAACAATCTATGGATTAGATAGAGAATTACCTATAATTTTTCAGCCCACAATTCAGCTGGAGCATCAATCAATTGTCCTCAATTGTCCTTTTAATCGGATCCCAACCTAAACCGATAGATCCACATTTCAACTCCTTTCATATTTTCCACTCCTTCAATTGGTCCAATTTGTTTTTAAATTTAAGTCTATCGTATTCTCTGTCAGTCAATTCTTTGAATCTCTTAGCAATGTTTTTCCACACTTCCTTATTAAAAAACGTTGTTGGCCAGTTCCCCAGTTCTATTTTTTTTATACACATATCACAAAAAAATTTTGTTACTTCTTTATCCCACATTGCCTCCCTTTAATATTTTTAGACATAATGAAACTACAGACAAAAAATTAGAATAAAAAAGTTTTTAATTTTGAATCTCAATAGAATTGTTGAAGAAATAATAGCACCAACACATTCACAGTGATCATAATTATGAATCTCAAGCCAACAACAACACTAGCCAACAACAACATCAACCTAACAACAACAACAGTCTCAAAACAACAACACTAGCCACCAATACGAACAACAGTCTAGCTATTTGCTAAAAAAATATAAATAAATAAAGACACAAATGATTTATGTGGTTCGGTCAATGACCCACATCTACAGTAAGGCATCGAAAATACTTTATTATGTAATTGTATACGGTTACATAACTATAAATCTTAAGGGACACCAATAAAACTTGTAATTCTTCCTCCCTGCGATTGAAGAAAAATCCATTCTCTATTTTCAAAAATATAAAAATACAGCTCAGTTTGCATAAATCTATTCTCTACTTTCATATTTGCTAAAGAACCCATAAATCCATTGTCAGTTTGCATCTAAACAATACGGAAAATCCATAAAGCATACAGAAGAACCAATACAACTCCCAACCATTGAAACCTGATGAAGAAGAACCAATACAACTTTGATAAGAACCAATACAACCATCAATCTTATAATTGATCAAGGTTATAATTGATCCCACAAAATTCAATTGCAGAAAACCAAAAGCAGGTATTTTGGATCCCTGTAATTGAAGAAAAAACAAAACATCGCATATGCATATGAACCCTAAACCAAAAGTAGGTAATTTGGATCCCTGCATATGTCATCAGTGAAGAAATGCAATACTCAGAAAGTAATTCAGCTATAAACATATATTTGGGGACTATTTTGAAGTTTAACCCAATTAATAAATAAAGTACATGAATCCTCTCAAATGTGTTTTCATTGCAATGAAAACATATAGTACCAATGGATGCCAAATTTAATTGCCAAGCTAAATAGAAGTTACAGTATGCATTAGGTTGCTGCTGGGAAAAGAATTTGACATTAATATGCTAGAGTGGACCTGAATAAACCTCCATCTCCATAATAGAGTATTGCAATAGGAAATCTCCAACTTTACAGGGGCTTATAATCAATTAGAAATCCCCAATGATATAACCATTGCCTCATATAAAAACAAACATTGCATTTTCTTGTCTAAGCATATGCATATGAACCGTAAAGCCTATAACCATTGTTATTCTTAACATATAATGCAAAATAAAAGTATTGAATCCTCTCATATGCATAACAAAAATTCCTCTCATAAAACGCAAGATAAAAGTAATAGAAATTCCTACAAATTTTTCACCGCACAATCAGCAGCTAAACATATATATAACTTCACCAATTTGCTTTCACGAACTCATATTTCAGCAGTTAAAAAGCTAGATGCCTCCCATCAAACAAACAGAGCCATAACAAGAAAAAACGACATAATATCATGCCACAAAACAGATGCCCAGATGCCCAAAACAAGACTCATACAAGACTCATGTTTCCAGGATCGCAACTAGCAACCCAAATCCAACAACCAGTTAAAATGACAAAATATCGAGGCACAGAAAATGAAACATTTCTCAACAGGCCTAACACCCAAAAAGCAGTGAAAATGCCAGAAGCCACAAGATCTGAAAAAAAACTCATGTCATAGATCTAAACTGGGAAATACCTAAAAACCTTAAATGACATCATATTTCCCCCGAAAAAGATAAAATTTTTCATTTCCTGCATCAACACTTGCTCAGAAAGAAGATCGGAGCAAAGAAAGCATTCCAAGGCTCAAATCTGGGGTAATTGAAAGAATACCTGATGATCATGAAAGAAAATGGAAAGGAAGAACGTTCGATCTCCTCTAGAGCGACGAATCAGAACCCTAAACCAGCGAGGGAGAAGGCAAGGGAGATCGAGGGCACCTCCGGAATTCCTAGGGCAACACAGATGGATAACACTGGACGCGGGGCTCGGACAGCGTCGAACGATATAAATAAATTAACGAATGCGAACTCAGTGCGGGATCGTTACGCAAGTGTAAACACTTTAAACAAACAGGGAGGCGTCGTTTTAAAAAAGACGCACCTAATGTCTACCGCATTTCAAGCCTCTGTTATTTCTTTGATCGCCAAGGACTAGAATGCAAAAAGATTCTTTCCCCTAGCCGGGCGAGTGGTCTCCGGCTTTATCGTTGTCTGATAGAAGAGGAGGGGAAATCTGTGTGTGTGTGAGAGAGAGAGAGAGAGAGAGAGAGACGAAGAAGCAATGGGGCGGAAGAAGACGGTGGAGTTCGACGAGGGTCCCCCGGATGACTTCGATCCGAACAATCCTTACGCTGATCCGGTGGCAATGCTAGATTACAGAGAGTACTTGGTGAGGGAGAAGTGGATTCAGATCGAGACTGCAAAGATTATCCGTGAACGCCTTAAATGGTGCTACCGCATCGAAGGTGTCAACCATCTTCAGAAATGCCGCCATCTTGTTGAGCAGTATCTTGAAGCTACCCGCGGTGTCGGATGGGGCAAGGATCACCGCCCACCTGAGCTCCATGGTTCGTTGTTCATTGTTTCTTTCCATCCTCATCGTAATCGTTTGTTTTTCATGTGCCCTTGTTATCATGATTGACCGATTCTGGATCTCTTAACTGGTATTTTTATTAGGTCCAAAGAAGGTTGTCGAGTAGCTGGACTGCCGAGCAATCTATGTGAGGCCTATTTCTTTCCTTAAATGTTGTGTTTTTTTTTCTTTGTTTGTGTGCGTTCGTGCGTTTGTTTTATGCTGTTTGCCTTTCTGCATTTTCTAGTTTGATCATAACTCGTGTTTGGATTCTCTTTAGATTGTGATGTTTTGCAGAATTTCCTTTTGAGGGCCTTGATGATAGAATTAAGTTTATTTTCCCAGATATTGCAAAGAAAGTATCTTTTTTTTTTTTTTGCTTGTGATTATCTGGTAAGTTTTTTTCTCAAGTGATGATGTTCATTGGCAGCTCAGTAGCAGCCTGACACAGAGCTTGGCCTGCATGTTGGGTTGCGTTTCCTTGTGTTATTCATTTTGCATCAGGAAAGTTTAGTTTGGTTAAAATATGATGTAGCTTTTTTTGCTGACATAAATCGACCGTGATATGAGCTGATTAGGTTTAAGGTTTGTTTAGAAATTGTAATTGTGGATCTTTGAAAGTATACATTATATATCTTGGTGCGGACCAAGTACTTTTTATATACACCGCTTTACCCTTCTTTTGCTAAGATTGTGCCTTCATGATTTGAACTTAGGACCTCCATATTAAATAAAAGGCGAATTTATCACCACTCTTAGTCCACCTCTTTTTAATTGGAATATCCGATGCATGGAACTCCTATTAATGCGGAGATTTGACATGGTTTGATTTACATAGTCTCACCCTTTTATTTGCATAAAAGCTATTTATGAGACTTGAGCCTTGTTTACTTCTATTTCCGAAGGAAAAAATGAATTTTTAATGTTTTTATCTGAAAGTAGCTTTCATGAATATTGATTAAAAGAGATTATGCTAAGGGGGCTTTCACAGTTTCAATTAATAAATTGCTGTAAAAGTTGTTTCATTATAAAGGAAAGTTGAATTGGTTTTCAGACCTGGTTTATTAAGGATCACATTGTATTACTGTTCTTTGCGTTTTTTGTCAACATTCAGTCATGTAACATTATCGTGCAATGATCAGTAGATCAACTTTGGTACAATAGTGCTGTAATTCACTTCTAAAATTGCACTAAACAATGACCATCAACTACATACGCTACAAGTTCAGATTAATCTGCTTTGTGTTCTTGCAAAACTCCATAACATAATTAGAAATTCTAATTCCTAGTTGCCTGCAATGGGAGTGGTTAACCATCATCTTAGACATTGTGGCCTCTTCTTGCATCTCATTTTACATATTTTGGATGACTTATTATAATACAGCTTCAGTCATTATTGATGTTAGGGGATTTGTAATTATTTTGATTTTAGGCTATTTATAAAGCTTAATTGATGCAAATCTCGAAGTTCATAATCATTGAAAATACAAGTTTTATGCCTTTCTGAAAGATGAACTTTTGTTTGATATGAGTAGTTTTAGTTAATTTTTGTTTCACAACAGTTTTAGTTTGAGTAAAAGTTTCTATAGGCATTTGATTTAACCCTAGTTTTTCTTTTTTTTTCCATGTATTTTTTATAATTCATTTTATACATTTCTAGAGCATTATTCATTAGCTTTTTTACACTTGTGATTATTCTTTACTGCCTCTAGTATCTTTTAGGTGTGATATTGTTAGCAAGTAACACTTCTCTAATGGAAGCATTATTTGAGGGACCTAATTCGATTTTTGGGCATTGTATACATTAAGATGAAAATTCTGAAAGAAATTTTAATTTGATTCGAGTAGATTTAGTTAATTTTTAATTCTGTAAGAATTTTAATATGAAAAAATATTTATGCATTTCTTGGTTGCGACCCTTGTTCTTTGCTTTTTTTCAACATATGTTTGATGATACATATGATTCCTCTCTAGAGAAACATTTGTTGGCTTAGACATACTTTTGTTTCTCCTTTACCACCCTATTATCTTTGTAGCAGTGTAAGACTTCTTCTTGGGCATTATGTGCGGGGTGTAGTGTGATTTTAGGCATATGTGTCATATCTGGTTCGCAGGTCAGGTTTAGGTTTGACTCAAAATTAACCTGGACCAAAACTATTTGGCACGACCTCGATCCGAATATTAAATCAAACAGCCCGCAGGGAGTCTAAAAAAACAATTTGTGACGCTAAAAATTCTGCTTTTAGTGATCTTTATAATAAATTAGATACTAAGTAGGGTGAAAAATATATGTATAAACTAGTCAAACAAAGAGAAAAGAAAAGTAAATATTTAACTCAAGTAAAGCGTATTAAAGATGAAAATTAAAATGTGTTTTTTTTTTAAAAAAGATATTCAAATTAGGTGGGTGAGTTATTTTCATAAACTTTTTAATTAGGGTTCTGAAAATATGATCGACCTTAGTGATCTTAATATCGTTCATAATAATAAAACGTTTCATTTTTATCGCCACATTAGTAAAAAAGAAGTTTAGAAGGCTTTAAAGAAAACTAAGGATGGAATGTCTGTAGGACCTGATGATATCCCAATTGAAGTGTGGAAATATTTAGGAGATTTGGGAGTTACTTGGCTTGCTAAACTCTTTAATATTATTTTAAAAACTTAAAAAGATGCCTAAGGAGTGGAGGAAGAGTATTTTGATCCCTTTTTTTAAGAATAAATGAGATGCACAAGAGTGGGCAAATATAGAGGAATTAAGTTGATGTGTCATACTTTAAAATTATGGGAGAGGGTAATTAAACATAGGTTAAGACGTATTAAAAAGATTTTTCATAATCAATTTGAATTTTTGTCGAGCAGGTCTACTTTGGAAGCTATACATTTATTGAGAGGTTTGATGGAGAAGTTCAGAGATAATAAGGAGGATCTACATTTGATTTTTATTGATTTAGAAAAAGCTTACGATAAGGTTCCAAGAGATATCCTTTGGAGAGTTCTTGAGAAGCAAGGTGTTGATATGATTTATATTCAAGTCATTAAAGGTATGTATACTAGAGCTATTAAACTGAAGGAGGATTAAGGAGGATTAACCAAATATTTTCCTATTTATGTTGGATTACATCAGGGATCGGCTTTAAGCCATATCTTTTTGCTTTAGTTATGGATGGTCTTATTGGACATTTACAGGAGTATGTACCTTGGTGTAGCTTTTTGCTGATGATATCCTTCTCGTGGATAAGACAAGAGAAAAAGCCCAGGAAAAACTTGAATTATGGAGGTTTACATTGGAGTCTAAAGGCCTTCATTTGAGTAAAACTAAAACTGAATACATGGAATGTAATTTTAGTAGTAGTAGTTCTAGTGACAGAAGTGTAACTTTGGGTGACCAAATTATTAAAAGGTGTGAACGGTTTAGATATCTCGGTTCTGTTATTCAAAGCGATGGTGATATAGATGGGGATGTTAATAGTAGAATTCAAGTTGGTTGGTTCAAGTGGAGGAATGTTTCCAGCCTTTTGGGTGATGGAAAAGTACCGCTTAGATTGAAAGGAAAATTTTATAAGATGGTGGTGAGACCTGCAATGCTCTATGGCGCTGAATGTTGGCCTTTAAAAGAGAAACATAAAATTAAGTTAAGTGTTGCCAAGATGAGAATGATTAGGTGGATGAGTGACTTTGCACTTAGAGACAAAATGTGAAATGAAATATATCCGAGATAGGATTAGTGTAGCTCCTGTAACGAACAAAATTAGAGAGATTCGTCTTAAATGGTTTGGTCACATTAAACGTCGACCATTTGATGATCCGATTAGGAGAGTTGATGTTTTAGATTCGACTTATGTTAAGAAAAACAGAGGTAGACCTAGGAAGACTTGGCTTATTGTATAAAAAATGATCTTAATTTATTAGAAGTAAATGAAAATATGACACTAAATAGGACTCATTGGAGAAAAAAGGATTTATGTAGCCGACCCCACGTAGTGGGATTAAGGCTTTGTTGTTGTTGTTGTTGTTGTGGGAGTCTGCTCCTTAGAGTTAAAGATCTTCCAAGAAAGTTTATCTACTTATGCAAGCAACATGTTTTATTTTCATGATTTCTTTTCATCAATTTTACTTATTTTCCTAAATTTTGTTATTGAATTCATTACATGATTGATATTATTCAAGTTTAATAAAACCTTATTTATGAATGAGTTTGTTAACTTTAACTCATTCCATGGTTCCTATGGTTCGGAATTTTTAATTTTATCCTAGGAGAAGTCTATTGAATTATTGCTTGGATTGATTTCTCTATTTTTTTTTCTGGTTCATTGAAAGTAGCAATTAGCTGTTAAAATTAAGAGTGCATGATCTTAAAGCTTTCTATAATTTTGTGCATCCCATAGGTGATATGCTGTAAAAACTCTGAGATTTAGGATGAATGAATTTTATAGAAATTGTTCGTAGAAAAGTTGCATAGCATAGCTCTTTCCTGCGCTTAGTTATTTTTATTGTCTTCTCCAACTAAATAAATTTGCAGCGACTATATTATAATTAGTGTAATACTTACGTCTGCTTATAAATGGGGTGAAGTTGGGAGGTAGGTGTTGGTATTCTCAATCTATTTTTCTGTTCTTCTATTATTGTTTCATGCCTGGATCAACCGTTCTTTATGGCTGTACAGTTCCTCTTATATTTGATATTCGTTCTTTGATAGTCATTTCTTTTTAGCTTCCTCTTGTGATAAAGATCCTTAAATTCATTTATTTTGTTCTTGGGATATGATTTATAGTATTTCTATATATTTTGTTTGAATCCTGATGCTTTTTGAAAAATTAGCATAAAGTCAAGAGAAGCTTTATCATTACTTCATGGGCTTTCTTTTCAAAATTATTTTAACGAGTTGTGTCTTTCGATATTGGAAGCGTAGCGAAAGAGCAATAGTTCAACTTCTGTCTTTCGAAATTAAGGTTTACATTATTGCAAATTTGTGTACACATGCATTTACATGCAAACACAAATAGAGGAATTGCATTCGAAGTTGATACTCTTGGTGTTTTCGGAGTACCTTTGGAAATGAGAACTTATTCTCGCGAGGATATAAAGCTTCTTGATGTAGAGTTATATTAGCCATTATGTTTTTTGTATTGTTTATTATCTATATTATTTATTTT